CAGCGATTTCGCAAAACCTGTCGGCGAGTGAAAAATCGGGCTAAAATCGTGCAGTGTGAACTCGGCATAAGGCAACCGGCCAGTTCGGGAATTTTGCACAAGGGCGAAAAAATTTGGTCGCTTTCCAGTTGGTTTTCCGAATTCGCCATATTGAGCAACAGAAAGCTGCTTGGTTGTGAGACAATTGTGTGACAATTTACCTTTATTTGCGAAATTGCATTGACTGCAGTTTTACTCATTGTGTTATACCACTGATCTATTATAGTACATCTGTTACTCTACTCGTAACAACCAGTTTCCATTGCAAGTGTTGACTGATTCTGTCAGTTTAGCTGGGCACATTCCAGGATTCAGAGGTTAATCTTGATGTGAATCATGATTTTAGTTGAGATTCCCGTCTGTGTATCTGGCTTCAGTGAATCACACGTGAACTCGGCATAAGGCAACCGGCCAGTTCGGGAATTTTGCACAAGGGCGAAAAAATTTGGTCGCTTTCCAGTTGGTTTTCCGAATTCGCCATATTGAGCAACAGAAAGCTGCTTGGTTGTGAGACAATTGTGTGACAATTTACCTTTATTTGCGAAATTGCATTGACTGCAGTTTTACTCATTGTGTTATACCACTGATCTATTATAGTACATCTGTTACTCTACTCGTAACAACCAGTGGCCATTGCAAGTGTTGACTGATTCTGTCAGTTTAGCTGGGCACATTTCCAGGATTCAGAGGTTAATCTTGATGTGAATCATGATTTTAGTTGAGATTCCCATCTGTGTATCTGGCTTCAGTGAATCACACATTTCATAATACCGGAACTACAATAAAAATACTTCCAATGCTGGTTCAAGCGTGTAGGCAGAGGTTTCAACATATAACCACAGGTGTATAATTTACGTAAACGCCAAGGAATGATCATGTACACAACACCGGAATGTTAGAAAGGGTCAGCACAGGATATGGAGCAATAGGTGTGTTTCTCAAGGTGGAATAGGAGTGAGATTAGGCAATGTTAGGTCACCATGTGAACGCAGGGCATATGTGTGATTTCATGAGAACTGATGGCACTTGTTGATTTAAATAATAATATTGAATAAATAATTTTAACTCATAATTTTGGACCCACTAAATTCTGGGCATTTTAATCCTAACACCTGGCATATGAAGTAACAAAAATCTGTTTGTTTTTTTTGTAAATGAAAAATCTTATTTTATTAAGAGAATATGGAGCTAATTTTCATAGGAAAAAACACCTGTTTTATTCAGAGGCCCAAACTGCAAAAATATGCAATCTGGTGTAGACATTATATGACCAAAAAGTCAAATATTCTGATAGCTTTTGTAAGTGTAAGAGGCTGCTTACATAAAATGCATAAAAATATCAGCTGCCACTCTACATCTCCCAATAATCTCTCAATATGATTTGCTTAGTTTTAAGATCAATTTTCTGTACTTTTAATTATGTGATCAAACATATAATGCATTGCAAAACAATGATTGGGAGATTAACAAATCCTCAGAAGCCTAATGGATCATAGTCAAAAGATACATTTTAAGATGATTTTTCAGAAAATTCATAATCAAGCAAACCTAAGTTGCTTCAGTCCAGTAAGTGTTCATCTTGAAATATTATGAATAATATAAAAGTTAGTCTTACATTTATTTTATAAAAATCAGTAACTAAGATTTCACAGCAAAAAGACAAAGCTCAACATGATGGACCGTTTTACAATTATACTAACAGGCCTTTGACAGGTTTTGATCATGTTGGTAAATTGAAGAACATCGAAATTTATGTATCTAACATGATACACTAGGCTATATAGTGTTATTAATAACAGATTTATTTATTTTTTTAAATTAGACAATATTAGAAATACTGCTTTAGTCTTCCTGAAATTGAACTTTTAAACTACTTAAGGCACTTAAAATGGTGGTACACAAAGCAAAGCAATAAACATTAAAATGCAGATTTTCTTTAAATATTGAAACTCTTTGAATATATAAATGTTGGCATGAGAACAGAATGATAGAATTGTGATTTAGAAACACAAAAACAGGATTTTACTGAATAACTCCTGTAATAAAATACAAGATACACACGGCTGACCCGGTTTACTTTCAAGTATGTCGCTATAATTTTTTTTTTTTTTTTTTCTGGAAACCGAGGAACGAAATTATTTTATATGGTAACTGACATTATGCCATATATCCTGTTGGCAAACTTAAAAGAGTTTAACATGCAAGACAGATCATTTTAGCAGCTAGATATAATACACTACAAAACATGCAGCAGGCAACACAAAAAACCGAGGACCAATATAGAAACATAAATAATATAATTTTATTCTAACACACCAGCAAAACCCCAATGGCCACTTAAACAACCACATACGTCCAAACCGACAACTTCCCACTTACAGAGAAAACCACAGCTTCCGTTTCAGAGCAAGAGTGTCAGGTTCACCAGTTTCTGATCAGACTGAGCTGTCAATATGTGATGAAATTCTGCTGGACGTCATCAACAACTCAAAACAATCCAGATAAACATCCATTCAGAATATCTGTGTTTTGTTACATATCCATTTGTCAGAATACGTCAAAGATTGGTTTTTCTTTTTTTTTATAGATTAGTACTCAATACTCAATAATAATAATCCATACTGACATTTTAAGTCAGTGTCATGATGAGAATTAGGCATTTTAAGATAGAAATGCTTTTGGATTCAAACATATGGATGTGCTCAGGGTCCAGACAGGATCTGTAAAGGTGCTGAGAGGCTGACAGATGTTCACAGCTGGCCATCTAGCATGTGCGGATGAAGTACACAGGCGATCTGTTCCTCTGTGGCGTCTTCATTCAGATCCTGAGGCTCTGCAGGTTTAAATGAGTTGCACTGCACCGCTGGCCACTAGAGGCGCTATAGTACGGTAACGCATCAGGTGCTGCGAACCTTCGTCCAAGTCCACAACGTACTCCCTGAGAGAGACGACAGCAAAGATGTCCAAATAAATACGGTTTAGGAATACATTTATGAATTTGCTCATTAAAATGAACAGGAATGCTGCCCCCTATAGGACATAGTAAATTTTGATAAGAAAATCCAAGGCATTTTATTATAAGTATCATTCAGTTTAGTGTTTGGTTATGAGACAGCAAACACTGTTCCAGAAACTATTGCCCTCTCCTGCCCACAGGCCACTGCCCTCTCACACCACATCCTAACTAGGCTGTAACCTGATTACTGGATTATCAGATTAGTGATCAACAGGTATGGGTTTGATGGATTCCCAAACTTTGTGTGTGACTGCTTCGAGCTGCCGTTCTTACCTCTGCTCATCTGTCTCGGGCTCCACCAGGATATTCTCCTGCCTCTCTTTCACTCTCAGGAACACAAACGAGTCCAGACACGGCTCAGGAACTTCACACAAACAAACCCATACACCAATTAAACAACAACCACTGCCACCAGATAAAACCATCACAATTACAGCATTCCATTCCATTTAGGTCTAGATTGAAAAATGAACACTACTGTTCAAATGTTGGGGTTGGTAAGATTTGTTTTAACATTTTTGAAACTCATGCTCACCAAGGCTGTATTTATTTTTAAAATGTATAAAAAAAAAAAAAAACACTTGTAAAATATTACATATTTCATATTATCCATGCTGAAAACTGTTGTGCTGCTTAATATTTTTGTGGAAACGGATACATTTCTTTCAAAATTATCTAATGAATAGAAGGTTCAAAAGAACAGCATTTATTTGAAATAGCAATTTAAAGTCTTTACTGTCACTTTTTCATCAATTTAATGCATCCTTGCTGAATAAAAGTATACATTTCTTTCCAAAAAAAACAAAAAAAAACATTAGTGTATATGCTTTTCTGATCGGTTTCTTTATAATATATATATATATATATACGGAGGTGCATATATACTAGGGCTGTGTATCCCCAGCAAAGCCACGATACGATACGTATCACGATACATAGGCCACGGTACGATACGTATCACGATACAGGACTGCACTAAATTTCACCAAAGCAGAATTTAGTAAAGCAGCTATTTATCAAACACTGCACACTATAGTGCCATTTCTAACTATTGGCAGAGCAGGCAGCTGACCTCTGCATTATGAAGGGCCTTCATAACTGTACCACAGTACAATATAGGTAATGACATGACTGCACTGAATTTCACCTCAGCAGAATTTAGAAAAACAGCTGTTTATTAAACACTGCTTACTATAGTGCCATTTCTAACTATTGGCAGAGCAGGCAGCTGGCCTCTGCATTATGAAGGGCCTTCATAACTGTACCACAGTACAATATAGGTAATGGCATTAGGGGTGTGCGATATATATCGTCTGCGACAATATCGTAATTGTTGTTTTAATTATGTGCGATAAAAATCATATTTACATTGCTGGTAGGTTATCATTGCACAAATTAACACACTCTCTACGATTAAAAAATAAAAATAAAAATGAGAAGAGTTCTAAACTAATGCGTTGTCTTCTGTATCTAACGCACACACACTCAGTCACTCACACAGATCACGTTGCGGCCGCCAGACATTCAGGAACAAACTTTTTAGCGCTGCCCCCGCAATTTTATCAACTAAATAGCTTAATCACTCATGAGCTACATTATCTTTCTCAGCAAGGAGCTGGTAACATAGTTGTTTCTAAAGGAATTAAAGCCACAGCTTCACTGTTAAAGTGGAGATCGCTAAACTGCAAGCTAAAACTAAAACCGCTGTTTTCAGAAAGCAAGTGCGTTTATCCACAGTGGAGAGACTGCGTGTGCACATGGTTGCCAGGTTGACAAAGATAAGTAGCACATTTAGCAGATATTTCCGTATTGCAAGTGTAAAGCTCTGTTTCGGGGATTATGTCTCTTTATATCAGGCAACCCAGTGGTGTTCCTCTGCGGCCAGATTAAACCTTGTTGTAGCCTATATATTATGATCTATTCATTATTTTTTAGAAACCTCGCACTTTTCTGCTCAATTTTAAATGTTGTTCTTGTATTCAAATTAAGCGTGGTCCACTGCTGCACACGTGCCACAATATCTGTATGGATACTCGTATCGTCAAATCTCTATGACTATACGTTGTCGTATCGATGTATCGAACACAGCACTAATATATACATGCACACTCTGGGCTGGTTAGACTCGATTTAGATGTAATCATCATCCAGGAGTTATAAAATATATTAATTTTATGTGACTGATTGGGCTGTGGAAACATCTAGTTTTTCACTCTCAGAAAAAAAGGTTGAAAAGCTGTGACTGGGGTGGTACTCTTTCAAAAAGTACACCTTTGTACCTTATTTACCACCTCAAAGGTACATATTAGTAGTGAAATGGTACATACGACTAGTATCTTTTGAAAAGGTACCGCCCAAGAGACAGCTTTTGTACCTTTATTTATCCAAAAGAACGGATTACGATATTATTTAAAAATATATGTGATTTTTTTCATAATTGTGCAGCCCTACTGGGAAACAACTTGCTGACCTTGACTTCTAGTATTTTCTGGCTAGTAAAATTTTGGAAAATACAAAAATTTACTGAAAAATACACTAATAAATATACATCAAACAAGAAACAAAGTAATGTTGGTTAACTGTCTACTATTCTTAAAATATCAGTTTAAAACAATAAGAAATGTTTCTCACCAGCCTTCAGCATGTCAATGCTCTGCAGGTTCGGGGGCATGTGTTTCAGAGCCACGTTTCGGAGGTACACCTCTGTGTTGGCCAGATACCTAAACACACAACATATAACATTTGGAGACCACACACACACACACACACACGTCGCAATGTGCATTATGTGAATTAGATGACAGAAACACAGGCAAAAACACTCAAAATTCTGCCCAAAACTGTCATTCTCAAAGAAATTAAAAGAATGTTCTGGATCTGTTTGTACTTTACCACACTGTCTGCCTGATACAGACAACAGAAAGGATTCAGAATGAACTCACTCTTTAGCGAAGGCAAACTCTTCAGGGGAAAGAAATGTAGGATCTCTATCAGCACGTGACTTTTCTTTCTCCAAAACGTGAGGGAAAAACCTCTCTATCTGCAGACGAGACGACAACCATATATGTATATAGATAACAGACCTACAGTGCAATTTACCTTTGCTTCACCTCAAAGCACACAGGATGCTAAAGATCATTTCTAGAGCAAAAAAACATCTTAAAACCATCTATAAGGACAGCTAGATATTTGACAGGGTCTAGACTCATGTAATTCATGATCTACCATAACGGTGTCTGTGAGAAAGACACGTATCCGTAAAGTTACTCCAGAGGGAACTGTCTAATGTGTGTAATATGTGGAGTTGAAGTCACTTTGAATACAAGCAGCAGTTAAATGATATTGTAGTCGTGTTCAGGATACCTTCTGGAGTCTTGAGCGCAGGTAGCTGCTCAGAACAAAGCGGATGCGATCGATCTCCATGCGATGCACACTGGCCTTCACATCACCTTTCCTCACCCGCTGCAGATTGTCCTCCTGCGTACACAAATAGCAAGGACTAACTGATAAGAAATTTAAATGTATAAAAAAAATATAGTAAATTTATGTAACTGGCTGTGGAAATATTCTGGGGGGGTTCCTCACTGTAAAAACTAATTAAAGTTATTTAAATGACTTGTTTTAAATTAATTTTGTGATTATTTTAGCATTATTGTGCATACATATTTCAAATTCTTGTATAATTATGATGACACAAACTGTTTTATGTTTTTCATGTTATTTGTTTTAACTGGAAAATCAAGTGACTAAAAGGTTATTATAACTGGAAAAAACTGATTAAATTAAACAAAGAAACCACATAAAATAATTAGCTTTCCAGTTATAACACCCATATTCTTTCCCCTTTAATCGAAAACCTTGATATTGGAAAAAAATGCCAATTTTATTTGTCAGCTACCTAAATATAACATGCAATGTTTCACCACTGTAAAAAGCACTGAACACAGATCCATACCATGTGTGTGATCTGCTCCATCACACACTCCACCAACTCTGACTTGTTCTCCAACAGTTCTGGAGAAAACTTCTCATTCAGCCAAGCCTGAAACACAGGAGACTGACTGACACGCATTCAAAAACACTCTTCCTGATATCATGTGTCTGCTCTGCAATAAGACTCGTATTATAGACCGTATCTAATGCATGCTTTTATTTTTCAAATGTATTGTTCCCATGATGTGCAGCACTTATTAAATACTAATAATACTAAAGTTTGAGCATAAAAACATCAATTTGATTGAATTTCTGTTTCATACTGAAACATTTTGATGATTTGAATTTACTTTTAAACGCTTGAAATTGGTTTTGTAGACTAAAAACAACTTCTACACACTTTTACATTTCAGTTCTTTTTCTGCAGTTCTTTTTAAATGTATTCATCAAAGAGTCCTTAAAGTTTCCACAAAATATTCAGCAGCAGAACCCGTTTTTAACATTTATAAGAACATTTATTAAGCACCAATAATAAATGAGCAGCAAACATATTTCATTACACCAAATACACAAAATAATGTTCTTTTTTAGCAGCACCATATGACCCCTTTAAGTAAAACGAGTTTCTGTGTTTTATCATAGTTTTGATAACTTCACTATTCCTATAAATAATATGCAAGGATGTGTCCAAACGTTTGACTGGTAACGTTACTGTATACTTAGACTTTATTCTTTATTTGTAAGTTTCTTTCATCTTAAGAGTGGTGCCCCTGCGCTCTTCTGAAAACACATTTCACGGTCAGTATGGTTGGAGCACCCGTTAGATGTCTGACCTCCTCCAGTCTGGCGATGAGCTCCGCCGGGGTCATCACCTCCTCCTGGCCCTCCTCTCCTGCGCTCAGATCACTGGCGTCTGACATTCTCACACGCTGTGCCACAAACAACAGCAGAGACACTTTAGCAAGCTAGCTGTACAGGGAATCAGGGAATCAGATCGGCGACTGTCTACAACACTCCTGAAAACCAAACGGCAGAAAGAGCAGACTTCACAAGAACCGCGAAATTAAATCAACAAACTCAGCGCTGTTTACATTCTAACGCGCGTTCATTGTGGAATCTTCAGAGGAGGAATTTCGCGCCAAAAACCAACAACGTGTCGCCGTCATGACGTCAGCGCGTGCTCTGACCAAAACGAAGACGAGAAGAGAAGCTTACATCCAAACTTACAGAAAAACTCATAAATAAGTTGTAGCTTTTATGATTGTAAAATGATTGTATAACTGTATGTTTTATATTATTAGTATTATGTTTACTTATTTAATTACCTTTTAATTTGTATGTATCCCCCACATGTTCTTGTTCTAATGTTTGTGTATCTTTTTGATATTGTTACTAAAAAATAATTTTAAAAAATCAAACATAAAGACAATAAAAAATACGTTTTTTTTCTAGCGATATACTGTATATTTATATAGCTAATAGTATTAATAGTTAATCATATATTAATATATAATTTTAGTTCTCAATCAACAAGATTTAGACAATTCAGATTTTGTGAAATTAGGTGGACATGCAATATATAAGAGGCTGTTTGAATAAGAATCTCAGCATTTGTGAATTTTACAAATTACGTTGTTCGCTGTTGCTTTGTTATTTTTCTTCTTTTCATTCCCCTCCTTCTTTATTACAGTATACTGATGTTTACTGCCGGATATTTTTCTCCAGTGCCACATTCTGCACCAGTTATTGATATTAAACTGTGAAAGGACTCTCATTCCACAATTCTGTCATTGTGGACACCAGTGTTGGAGGTAACGCATTACAAGTAACGCAAGTTACGTAATCAGATTACTTTTTTCAAGTAACTAGTAAAGTAACGCATTACTTTGTAATTTACAAGAGAATATCTGAGTTACTTTTTCAAATAAGTAACGCAAGTTACTTTTTTTTTTCCAATTTATTGATTGACAGCTCTCCTGTCCCCATGTTGAGAGAAATCAGATGTTACTGTAGTTCTAAAATAAATATGAATATGCATTAATTCATCTCACTCAC